ATATATATATATAGCCAATTACTATTTCCTGTTTTTTTTTTAAGTTTATTGAAACATACAAATCAATACTCTATTTAAGTTTTTTTAAATTTTTGTAACTGGACTTACAGCGTTCATATAACAAAATAGTAAAACTATTAAAAATTTTATTTCAAAAAACTGATCACAATTTCTCTTCTCAGTATCAGTTTAATGGCTTAATCTTTATATTTAACATTTTTCTGATGTTACTTTGAAATTTTGTTCAACAAATTTTTTTATAAAATAAAACTAACTCTAAAACCTTAAAAGTAGGTACTTTTTTCTACTTTTCAAAATGAATGAAATAAAAAAATTTTTTTTTTCCTCAATATTATTACAAATTATAGCTCACTTAATAAGCTTCCTTCTAATTACTTACTTGTATAATAATCAACACAGTTTACGATTAGATAAATTTTTTCCATGTTGCAAATTATAATTTTAAACTATTTTAGAAATGCTAGTGAAATACCAAAAATATAATAGTCCTCATACTCGAGTGATTCAAAACTTGTAAACTTCATCTTTTAAAGCAGTTGTTACCATACCTGATGTAAGTATTGTCATTGCATTTTCATCGTCTCGATGCTTTTGAATGTGTGTGGCTAGAAGGTCAGACCGACGAAAAGATTTTGGACACATGTGACAGTGGTAAGGAATGCTCGCACTGTGCGTGAGCATGTGACGCTTTAGATGATTATTGCGAGTAAAACCTCTACCACAAAGAGTACACGTGAATGGACGTTCACCTGAATGAATGAAGCTATGCCTTTTGAAGTCCTTCCTAGAGTCTGTTGAATACAAGCAGAGCTCGCATTTAAATCGATGGTGTGGATTTTCACCTTTGTGCCACTTTTTATGACGAGATAGTGCAGAATTTGAAGCATATACCATCTCACATTCATCACAAGAAAAGCACTTCACAGCTACATTAAAAAACCGTTTCATTAATATACATACACATTTACTTTAAAAAATTTTATCTTGGACAAAATTAATTAAAATTTTGATTATTATTATTATTTTAGATGCTTAAAATTTTTTTATTTACTTAAAAATTCAATTAAAATGTTTTACATTCATTTTATATAAACACATAATGTAACAGATGAAGTTAACACATTTAGCATTTTTTTACACTATATCTGAAACTGTTTTTACACAATTATGAAATATTATAAGCACATTTTTAATAGCTAAAGGTTAAAAGATTCTAATCATTTCTAAACAATTTTTTCAGCATATATGGAACCTGAGATTGTCCAATCAGGAAATGAAACAAGTTGTTTTATTAAAGTATGTTCTTCATTCCCTTATAAATTATAGTGGTAAAATTGTTTTTGTCATAAAATGTAATTTTTTACAGATGTTTTATTTAAAAAAATAATTGCTAAATTTTATATAAAAGTAATTGCTAGTTTAGTGTAAAAAATTCCTTTTCCACTTATTTAAATTTGAAACTTGACAATGCAATTGAAACATGGGACAAAAATTTAATAAAATAGGAATTCAATTTTTTTTTTTTTTTTTTGCTCAGAAACATTAATGTAAATACTATATCCATCTACACTTTGAACATAAAAAATATTTAGAAAATGCAATGCAAAAAGATAAAAATTATAACTTAACTTATAAATATTTAAAACTTTGAATCAATGTAATAGCTAAATACATAATTTACATAGAAGAATAATCAGAAATAAACATAGTAAAGACACTCTTACTTATATAGCTAGTTAAATGGTGATTTAACACTATAAATATCGTGAACATTAACTAGACTAACAATTTAACTAAGTTAACAGTTTATTAACCATATATATTAACATAACCTAATAAGCAATTTATTAACATAGCCCATAATACCATAACCTATACTAATATGACCTTTGAAAATTGACTAGACTATAACAATTAAACTAGGTTAACAATATATGAACAAAAGCTAATACAATATATTTACAAACTTTGAATTGTTTATGTAGTTTAAAGTACTTTTACTTGGCACTTTTTTTTCTGAAAAAGAAAACATACTTTAAATTAAAACTATATTTTAGAAAGGGAAAAAAAAAATAGTATTGCATACAGTAGCTACAAGCATTGTCATAACAAGGACATTCTACTAAAATAAAAATATATTTATATAAATACACAATAAAAACAAATACATAATAAAAAAAACAAGTAATAATACTTTAAATTTAAAAAAGAAAAATAAATACAATTCAAATCGAGCCACAAAGAAAAAGAAAAATTATGTTTGCATTAAGCAGAGTTGAGAAACATGAATTATATAACAAGTTGTAGTTGTTTTGTCTATAGGATGAGTTTTGTAAGCAATATAAGATTTTATATAACAATAATGAAATAAATCAAATATTAGGCCATACATACTACCACACATACACACTAGCTCCAGAAGTACCAATAATGTAGTTTTTAGGATATTTTTCGAACTACTTATTTATTCTATTACATAGTTATGCCATATAAGAACTAAAACCATATAAACTTTGACACAGTTTAGATTAATCATCTTAATGAGCATTTAAAAAAAATTATATTAAGAATACGAAAAAGTATCAACATAAAAAAGAGAGATTTCTATCATTAGCATGAGTATCAGCTGAAAGAATAAAATTATTTTCATCATAATTTTCTTATCCTTTTATAGGCCCACTATTTTCTAGTAATAATTGATAAAATATTTTAGGTAGTGAGATAGATTTATAAAATGAAATTTATTTAGCTTATTACCCAAAAGTGATTTGATTTATAAAACTATTTTATTTTGTGGGTGGGATTTTTAAAATTTTAATAACTCCAATAAGTTGGCCATAAATTTTAACTTCTGTGCTTATAAATGATCTAATTTATAAATTCTGTGCTTATAATCACAAATAAACTTAATGAGAAATGAACAATCACATAATGCACAAGAGATAATATCTCACCCATGTTGGCATCTCTTCTTGACATGCTACTTTACCGGCATTTACGTAGAAATAACCTTTCATTGTCTTTTTACTTTATATTTTCTGAAGTTATTTACGGCTGGCAGCATAAATTATAGATCGGAAAATAGTTTCTTGTTTACATTTAAAAAAGGGGTGAGTGGGTAAAGTTAGTCATAGTATGGTTTTAAAATTTATAGCTATAATGAAAAAAGTGTACTTTTTCCATACTTACTTGCACTAATACATAATTCAGTTCATATTTCAATATATTTATAACGTACAGCATCAACAAATATATGCATAATATAGTTAAATAAATTTATTGCATTTTATCAAAAACATTAATAAAAAAATTAATAAAATAAACAAGTAAATAAAATAAAAATAATTTGTATACTTAAGAAAACTTAAAAAAAATGACATGTAGATGTGAGAGTTTGGGCTATGGCAATTGTGATTAGCACAAATATGAATATAGACACGTCTCTTATTTAAACATGGCCGAAGTTGAAAATTATCTAATTTGCAAAATGGTTAACCATGGCAATGCAACAATTCAAAAAGCCTAAAATAAACAAAAATTTACTATTTAAAATTTAATTCTACACAATAATACTATTTCAGAAATTGTACAGTTTCTTGATAAAAAATAAGAAAAAGAAAGTAAAATATCACACTAAAATCACACGTTATTGAGTTACAATATATAAAATCAAAACCTATTTTTAAATACTGTTTTTTTTTTTTTATTAAATTTTATGATAGAAAATTATTGCTACAATGAGAAAAGAAACTACTATTAAGTTTCTTAAACTTGAGAGGCTAAAATTTTATGATTTAGAAGAGAGTCATGTGAAGAAGATTGTGGAGAAAAATTAATTGATTCTAGAAACCAAACAATTTAATACACACTGTAGACTATTAATACGGTAGTACTACTTATGTTGATAATAATCTTAAAAGTATTGAAGGTCGATGTTTGGAAATAGGTACTATTTACTCATTATCTGTACTGATTCTGTTGAGAGAGATCTTAGGAATCTGGAAGTCAACTGATGACAATCTATTGCTCCAGACAGTGTCAGATGGAGGAGGCTCATGGAGGCAATCTCGGCCAGTGACAGGCTGTAGTACTGAAGAAGAAGAAACTATTACATAACTCACATAAAAAAGATATTTAAATTTCAATTATTAATTCCTTTTTTTTAGCTAATAAGAATTATTTAAATTTTATAAATTATTTTTTATTAATGTCGGAAAACTACAAAACAATGGTGTAGCTAGAAAGTATTTCTAGGTGGGGTTTTAAAGTTGGCAAATTTAATAATATAATTTCTCTAAATTTTCAATACGTAACAAGTTAAATAAGAAAAGTTTTAAAAATAATTATAAGAAAATAGACAATATTTAAAAAAAATCTAAATTAACATATATTTGAAACATTTGAATTAAAGGTAACTAACCCAACTGCTAATTAATTTCTTATCACCTTTACACTTTTCTTTCTAAAATTTAACTCTTTGTATTTATGGGTAATTGGAAAAATTGCACACTGTATTATCACTGTCATGCAAGTTTATTGGGTGATATACTGCACCTACTTGATAACTAAACTAAACAAGCAATGGAAAGATTTACGATTTCTTTTAAACACTCTAAGTTTTTTATTTGTTTACATAACATTTATTTTTCAATAAATATTATTTTATTATATTTTCATTACCATGAAATAGTATTTTTATGACTGAAATCTCTTCTCTACTTGTTCAACAACTAATTTAATTAGCATTGAAATATATATAACAGCAAACTATTACATAACTTGCATAAAAAAGATACATTCAAATAAAATAACATTTATTTTTCAATAAATATTATTTTATTATATTTCCATTACCATGAAATAGTATTTTTATGACTGAAATCTCTTTTCTAATTGTTCAACAACTGATTTAATTAGCATTGAAATATATATAACAGCAAACTATTACATAACTTGCATAAAAAAGATATAGTCAAATTTCTATTATTAATCCTATTTTTAACACATTAATTGGCTAAAATTATTCAAAAAACATTATGATAATGTTAGAGAATTATAAAGCATATAGATAATAACAAATGATATATATATATATATATATATATATATACAAACACATGCTTAAAAAAAGGCAGAAATATATAACTGTAAACTATACCATAATAAATATTTGGATTTATATTATTAATCCTCTTTTTAACATGCTAGATAAAAGACAAGAAAAGTTTAATTGCGAAAAGTAATTTTTTATGTTATTTCTTTACATTTTTTGCCTTAATAATGATGAAAATACTAAGTTTGTCAAAGCTACACATAATTTAAAATGTTATGCATTGCTATTTTCACAGCTTTAAAGTTTTTAAAAGTTATTAAATATTGCAAATATGTAAATAAAAATAATCCCCACAAGTAGATAAAAGAAATATATAATACATAAGATAATAAAAAATTAGAAAACTTTTCTCTTAATCTCAATGACGGGCATTTCGATTAAGACCCAAGGAATTATGGGGCCCGTGGCCCCAAATAACGGGGACCTAAAGGTCCCTGGATTTCTTTGCAAAACTTGTTATATAGTATTAATAATATTTCTATTGGGTAAATTAAATAATCCGTGGCACACATTTCAATTAGCAGAACCTAATGTTTAAAAAATCTTTCAATAATCGCAATAAAATTAAAAACAGAGAATATATATATATGCAAACTTGTACTAATCAGACGCTAAGTAGAAAAAAATTTAATTTTTAGTCAACAAGTGAATATAAAAACAAGACAAGACTAATATTTAAAATATAAAATTATAATAACTTATGAATATACAAAACAGAAAAAAAAAATTGATCCAGATGAATATTTCTGTTTTTGAAGAAAAAAAGAAAACAACGTTCTGCTCGAATTTTATCAACAAGAGCTGAGCTAGATCAAACAGAGTTATTATTTTTCATGGCATCTATTTAATTTATTTTGATTAAATTTCAACTAATTATTATTTATAGTTGGTAATTAGTTGTTCCTCACTTAATTTAATAAAAAATTTGAAAAACAATTTTTATAAGCTTCAAGCTAAGTAAACAGATAAGGCTAATGCGCAATTAAATCACCATTACCATCAACCCACGATCACCAGCAATTTCAAAGTTTTGTTGTCGTTTAATTTTGTTTCATTTTAAAACAAACATGACTGTCGAAAAAGCTCATTTATTTCAGTCTGGTGATCCTTCGATTCAGCAGTTTTTGGATTTAGGAGTGGAATTAGAAAAGCAGGAGCTTATGGTGAAGTTTTTTTCGTCTTAAATAAAATTCTTGCTTCTTTGAATGAATCATATTAAAGAATCAAAAAACTATTGTTTAAATGCTATTCACTCATTAAAATCTATCTGAATTCATTTTTCACCAATTTTAAACTGTGGTATTTCAATCTATTTGTTTCAACATGATGTTGTAAACTTCTGTTTGTTCAAGTTCCAAATGCCTGTTTAAAAGCTTCGTTTATACATATTTTTTTAATAAATTATTTGTGTACTTAAAATGTATTAATTGCATGTATACTTAATTAATTGCAAGTATACTTAAAAAGTAGATCAGATATATATTATAATAATACTCCTTACATTTTAAGTTTTGGGAAGATTTCTGTATTGGTACCTACACTAAAGTAATACTATAAGTGCAAGTCTTTATATACGTATAAAGTTGTACTTGTATTACAGTATATCACTTATTATGGGAATATTTCCGTATCGTGATCTGCCAAGCCAACTACAATCGCCAAGGCGCCAAATTAATTTTAGAGGTAAAAAATTAAAGAAAAACATGTAGAGATTTACTCTGGAGGGATATTGCCGTTTCGTGATCTGTCGTGCCAATTACAATTGCCATGGTGCCAAATAGATTTTGAACTTGCAAATTTTCATAAAAAGTTTTTTTTGCAAGTTTAAAATCTATTTGGTTTGCCTGGGGGTGGGCACCAGTTATACCTTTCGAGTTGGTTCCTTTCTGTAATGTTTTTTTATAGTTTCTCACGAGCCTCCGCCCAAAGGGGCCAAGACTTGGCGATTATTCTGTCACAGATCACAATACGGAAATCTCCCCACTTATCATTTTGTCTGATATTTCATGAATTGATTGAAATTAACTTGATTTTTAATTTTTTAGGCACCAGATGGAATTGCCTCACCTCAACTTTATGGTCAATTATTAGCAATTTACTTGCTTCAAAATGATTTGTAAGTGTATCTTTATCTTATATTTTTGGTTATAGTTATAATTTTTTTGTTTAAAAACTTTTTACGTGAGAAAAAAACCTTGGTATTGGCAAGATTAGTTGTACAACATGACATACATACATTCACTTTTTATAAATTGTATTGATTTTAATTCCAATATTATGGTCTTTATAACTTAAATGAACTAAACAAATTTATAGAATTAACATTTAGTAGCCACTGTTTATTTTTTTCTTAAAATTATACTAATGTAATTCAGTTGCATAGTTAGTTTTCAGCTCCCCAGGGGATTATGTCCCCCTTTTTGATCCCCCTTTTCAAACTATTTTATACATAAAAAGGAGAAAAATCTTCATTACCTGCTATATATTTGGGTTATGATGAAAATAGAAATACAAAAATGTAGTTAAAAAAATACCTAGTTTGATTTAAAATTTATTTCATGCAGCAATTTTTAAAGCTGTTGCAAACTTGTTTATTTCATCATCAAAATGTGTCATTTTAGTCACTTTATTTTCAATGTTAAACAAAGCCAATGCCGATGATCTTTCCTGTACTATAGTCGACCTGATGATTATATGTATATATTTTTTTTAAATGTAATTGGTGCTGATCTCTAATCCTTAATCTCTTCTAGACCAAATGCAAAATACTTATGGAAGCGGATTCCTCGTAATGTCAAAGAGGTTTGTTACATATTGTTTAATTCACACTTTTATTAATTTTTTTACTGATGTAACAATGTTTAATCTTGCCAGTTGACGATAACAGATATCTAGTTGCAATTTCAGCAAAATATCTGGCTGGGGCATGCTTTGTTCGTTTTCTTTTACATTTTTACTCTTAATTTTAGATTAAACAACTCAACTCTTTTTATTATAATTTTGTTCCTAATTTCTTTGGTGTACCTGATTTCTCTTCAATTTTCAGTTTTAATTCTTGATATTTTAAAATTATAGTTACTAATTGCCTTTTTTTTTTTTAAAGAATTATTTAGTAATATTGATTTTTCAATTAGTTTAATAATAAATTATAAATTCATAGTCATTTTGAAAATATTTTGACTAAGAAAATTTTTAGCCAATGAAAGTTTTTAATAAATATCAAGATAAAATCTCACTGATTAAATTATCTGTCATGAAACTGCCTTTTTGACAAAATTTAGCCTGTGAAAACTAAACGTTTCATTGCTAAAATTATTATTTTTGTTTTAAGTTCCCAAAAACAAACAGCTTGTATGAATGTGTTTGGATTAATGCTGATGTTTCCTAAAGCATGAATTTTGAATGCATAATTTTATTTTAAAATCATTAGCTTATCAGTAAAATTAAGAAAGTTACAGTTAAGAAAAATACAGTGCATTTTCAAAGAAGCTGTAAAGCATTTTTAAAGCAGTATATATATGCATGGACAAATAGTAGATACCTTTCTTATATTCTATGTTTGTACTTATTTTAGACTTGTGGTTTAGAATTATTTTGCTTGCCAGAATCTGGGCAAATTTGCTGCTTAGGATTTTAGGTATGACTTAAAGTCACGAATCATATAAATTCATAATTTTTTTTCTAACATTATATTACTGACTTTTTAAGAAAAATTTTTTTTATGAGCAAACCGTTGTGAAATACATAGTTTATTTGTACCAGATTTTGTTTGTTTGGTTTCTTACTTATACTTCTTATTTACCTTGTTTTTTTAAAGGTTAATTTTACTTATTTATTTTTATACTACTGTAATCTTTATGTATAATTTATATTTTTTTCAAAGTTAAAACCCACTTACAGAAAAGGCATATTCTAAAACTTTGAAAAGAGCATCGAGGAAATTCATTGCTTTTAGCATAATTAATTTAAATGTTATTAAATTATAATTAAATTACATTTTCTGAAATAATCTTAACAGATTAAAATATTGAAAAATCTTTTATGTACAATAATTATACAATTTAATCAAAAACAAAAATAAAAACCTTTGTATAATTTAATTTCATATTGCATTTGTCATTAAGATTACATTTTTGTACATTGAATTAAATATTTCTTCCTATCCGATATTTAGGAGAATCCTGAGGTTGCTAAAGTTTGGAATATTGGTCAAAAATTGTGGACTTGTGATTCAGACGTTTATGTTGCTTTGAATGAAGAATGGCCTGAACATCTGAAACCTATTATTACAGCAATCCTAGGTACGTCTTTAAAAATAGCATAGAAATAAATATGCATTTTTTTACATGTATATTCAATAGGGCTCTCAAAATTAACGGTTGTTCGAGGGTCTGGGATCATTTAAATTTAAATTGGACCACTATGAATTATTAGTGGTCACTTGGGCCAGCAATTACTGTAAAAGGTTGGCATGTTTTTTTTTTTTTGTGTCAGAATTGCATATTTTATTGTAATTGTGAACATTATACTTTCATTGTATTATAATTTTTCATTTTAATTTACTCTAAAAACATCTTTCTTTAAAAAAAAAAAAACTTATAGGCACTTGTAAATTGACTGTTGAAAATATACATGGGCTAGTAATATCTTTCAGTTAATAATTCTTTAGGAAAGGGATTCAATTTTCTTAATTTCTACTCCTGTATAATCAAGGTTTTTTCCATCTTTTTTTTCTTTTAATATATATAAAAAAATATACATAGAAAAATCAATTTAATAACTGAATAAGAATCATTATTAAACATGATCATAATTCATGTGTGAATAAAAATTGTTACCAACATTTGTGCGCAAAAATTTTGAAATATATTTTATGGTTTTGTTATCATTAATATTCTAAAATTCCAATGTTTAAAATTTTTATACTAAAAATGAAAATAATTTTTGCAAAGCTAACAAGTTTTCTAAAATAACTATTAAGTACATAAAAAAATAGCAAATGGAAAATCATTAACTTTCCTTGGTTCAATTTTCTAAGTGAGGATAATAAAAAGTAAGATATTAAAGACCAAGTTAACAATTTTCTTGATATTTATTATGCTACCATGATATTTATTTTATATTATCATGATATTTATTATGCTAGAGATAAGTCTCATTGTCAGTTTTTGTGAAATAATTAATATTTTATTTTATTTCTTAACAGAAACCACCAGAAGTAGGGCATTGCGTCTAGTGTCCAAAGCTTATTCATCTATTAGTGTGGAAAAATTATCTTCATTTTTAGGATTGCCTGCTGAAGAATGTATTGAAGGTATAATATTTATTAATTAGAAAGTATATTGTTAATACTTTGAATTTTTTAAATTTATTATTCTATTTATATTGCTAAAACCATATTTAAGCACTTCACGTATATTCAAAAGTGTTGGGATTTTTTAGAGATCTATTTTATAATCCAGACTTATGCTTCAAATTATTTCTTACATTGTAACTAAGTATTTAAATTTTATGTCCTATTAAAATTTCTATTTTGTTGAATATCATTTAGGCTGTATATGTTCTATAAAAATTAAAATCTTCTAAATATTTTTATTATAAAAGGTATGCAATTTTTCTAGTTTAGTTATGCTAATTTTTGCGGGTCTTTTTTAAAAAAATAGTAGAAATATTTAAAATTTAAATGAACAAAAACAAATTCAATAACGTTTTTTTTTTTTACTAAATTAAAAACACAGAAAGGGTATAAAAGGAATTGAATATGTTTCAGAGAAGGGCAGTTATAAAATAGTTTTTGTGATATTCAAGTAATTATATTAGAATGATTTGTATTAGAATACTTAATTTAAAAAAATCAGAATGAGGCAGCTGAAGTGATGCATAATAATGCACAAAAGTAATTGTAGTTTATTTATTTGACTGTTCACATTGAAAAAAATACGACTAGATCCAAATTTGTTTTGGAATGTCCCTACACAACTAAAAAACAATGATTGAAGAACACTATTCTAAAAACAGTATAGAAGGCCTACTAAACAGACTTTCTTGAATAATTTGCTATTATATTTATTTTGTGCATGTGGAACAATTTGATAAACATCACCTCAAATATGTTCTTTTTTCTATTGGTGAACTGTCCATTAAAAGAAAATTTGTTGCTCTAGCATGAATTAGTTGTAGTAAATATCATAATATATTTGAAAATACTAAAAATATCAGATTTTTTAATATGTATTCGATATTTTGATGCATTATTATTGATAAAAACTTTTAGTAAATTAATTTGTAAATATTTCAAATGAAATATAGTGGTAGATACACTACATATATATATATATATATATATATATATTTAACTTAGTAAATATTTTAATATTTTTAGACATGATATAGACATTAAGAAGTAAAGGAATGCATTTTAAATATTTATATATCATAAAAAGACACATTGCAAAATTTGAGCTGACCTAATCTAAAACTAGTTTTTTTTTTTACTGCAACTAGGTAAAATATTTTCTAATAAATAGGTGAAATAGTAAATACAGTGAAACCTCCGTTAAGCGGACATTTATGGGATCAAAAAATTTGTCCGTTTATGAGAGTTGTCCGTTTACGGGAAGGGTACCCTAATAACGAAATTTAACAGCGTAAATTGTTTTTAGAATATTCTCAAAGATGTAGAAATAATTAAATAATATCTATAACGATTCTGTAAATATCTACAAGAATATTTATTTAAACAATAAGAAAGATAAAAAAGAATATATAAAGAAGTTTGATATAAATACATAATTCTGGATGTAGCTACAGATTAATAAATATAATTTTCCTATTAGCATAGATACTCAAGCTAGACATATGATACCAAATAAGAGCGTACTGTCCTCAGTCCGTTTCAATTATTAGGTTCACATCCCCTTACACCAACTTATCCTTTGATAGGGGACATGGTTAATACCTTCTTGGAAAATAAACCTCCCATGATTCACAGAAAAAAAAGTAATGCATACCTGTAAATCATGAGAACCTATGGAGATAATTATTCACAATTGATCAGCTATCGAATTTCTGAATAAATGTTTCATTTATATAAACACCTCAAAGATTATACTTCTGTTCTCTTTCTTTTACCCCAGTTGTGTTAAATACAGTCTTCAAATTGATAAGAAAATTAAAGAAATTTTCAATGGGGAAGAAGCATTGAGAGAAGTCGTTTCAACTTGAGGGGTCTCATAACCTGTGTGGTCCAGATGAAAAGATCAAAAGATGCCGATGTCAGAATTATTTCAGGAGTGCAGTACCATTTTCTCTCCTTTCTTTACAAAGATAAGGCAAGGTGACAGGAGAAAGATTGATTTTTCGGTGGTGAAATAGCTTAACAATATTTTTAGTTATGGATAAGGCAAAAAGTTTTATTTACATGCTTTAAAAATGGTGAAAAGTTGAATTTTTTTAGCTTGCAATTTATTTAGAAAAAGTAGTGTCCGGTTTGTAGAGATAAAAAACAACGTTTCAGGACCAAAATGACTGTCCGCGTCCGGTTACGGGAGTGTCCGCTTTGCGGAGAATGTTCGTAATGGTTTATTCATAGAAGATTCCCGGGGAATTAAAAATATGTCCGTATTGAGAGGCGTCCGTTTTGCAGGAGTGTCCATAACAGGAGGTTTCACTGTAATTGCTTATTCGATGAGATGTTTTGTCTTTCAATTGATACTCAAAATTAATTATTTTACTCCTAGCTAGGGTTCATAGGGTGTGGCTGCAATTGTCACTAAAAATTCTGCAAATATCCCTAAAATCGTATGCATAAGTGGCAAATTTGTCGCTTTGAAATATGTTTGAAGTTTACAGAATAGTAAAGAAAAAAGTTTTTTTATTGAATTCTATGCCTCTAAGAAAACTATTGTACTAATTTTAATTTTCTACTCATGGTATGGAATTCGAATGGACTAACTGAAAGTGTTTAGTGCAAAAAGTTTTTAATTTAAATGTTGAAATTACAAATTTACGTGTTGTGCTGTGTTGTGCATTTCTAAGCTGGCAGTATAATAATTGTTCATCAATAAAACAATATTTTTTGCTCATTTAGAATTGACTTTATTTAAAATTTTATTATAGAGAAATGAAGCTAATTGTTTTTCAAATTTATTATTGAGAAATGAAGCTAATTTTTATCAAAATGTAGAGTAAACATAGAAATTACAGAACAATGAAAAAAGAAAAATAGTAATAATAAAAATCCAAAAAAACTTATCGTTATCTTAATTTTCTTCATTTTTTTCTTCTTTTTGTATATATATAGCATAATAAATATGTTATTTGTGATCTGTTTATAAAACTTTTAGAGAAAAATTTTTAAAAAAGACATTTTTAAAAATTTTGATAAATGGATTACAACTTTTTGGAGGTTGTAGTTTGTTACATTGGTAGAATACAAAGACTTAGCTAAACTTATAACTTATGTTGTTAGTTTAGTAGTTTTGAATGTAGAAGCTCAGAAGTTAAAAGGGAGGATTAAGAATTTATATTTTGTGACTGAAAAATTGGATTTGTTACTTTTTGCTTTGATTTAAAAGAAAGAAAGAAAAGGATTGATGCATGATAATCCCTCAGATCTGAAGCTATGTTGAACATTTAAAAAATGTTACTGTGCGAATAGTATTTTAGGCCAACAAAAAAGTGTTTCCACATGTTAAGTCATTTTTTAAATTTATTATTTCCAAATGTGTCACATGTATTTTTTTTAAAAAAAAAAGTTTTAAAATGTCATAGCTTAGAGATATTTCTTTGTGCTCTTAAAAATGTAAAACTACAACCAAAAAGTTTAAATTTGCAAACAAATTTTTACGGTTACAATGCAAGAAATTTTTGAAAGTTTTTTTTATGGCTATTTTACTACACCTGACCCTGTATAAATTTGAATAAAATAATGCCAAAATCAGTTTAAGTTATTTGTTGAGAAAACAAATGTGTATTTAAAATAAAACTCAAAATATGTTGAAATAGTAATTATTAATAAAACTAAATTTAACTCATAAACTTTCGGAATTCAAACCAATAAATAAACAAAATGTGTAATAAAATTATTTTTGTTATATTTAACATTACAGAAAATATTCTTCTTCTTTTAACATAACAGAAAATATCGTATTACTTTTGTCCATCAAGGGGCAGTCCTCATTCTTCTTTCTTGTAAGATTTTTTTCTTCAGAATTAATTTTCCATTCCATTTTTTTTTTGGAAGTAAAATTTTTGTATTTTTGAGAAGTGATTTATTTTTTCTGCTTTAAATTTTTTTTTTTGTAGCAATATTTTTTAAGTAGACTGAAAATTACTCCAGTACTGTCTGAATTTCCCCTGAACCTGGTTGGCGAAATTGGACATATTCTGCACCCCTGCTTGTTTGTTTTTGTGATGCTTCTTAAAATTTTAAATAATTAATATGCTATAAAATAATGTAAAAACTAGTTATAATTTTTATTTTCATTCTTTAGGTCTCTCTCAACTGGGTTGGGAAGTTGATGCAGCATGTAAAATCATGAAACCAAAAGAAACTGGTAAAAAACATTTTATTACTTGTTTGCATTTTATTAATTGTGTGCTATTTGAGTAAATAATTATTTGATCTTAATTGCTCTTGAAAAACATAGTTTTTATGTATTTTTTTATTAAATGTTAATCTTAAGTTACAACTTTGAAAATCTCATTCAAGTTGGGGGTTTTTTGGGACGGGGGAAAAGATTATTAGAGAACACTATTGTTTTTTTAATATTTTTTTAAAAATCTTTAATATTAATCATGCCTGGTTGCTGATAATTAACCAAAATGTTGTACAGTTATCTAACAATGAGTCGATATATTATGAAATAGAAGGTACATGTTAGCATGTTAATTATAGTTGTAACATGTTAATTATGTAACATGTTAGTTCTAACATGTTAATGTTAGTTGTTAACATGTTAATTATAAAAAAATTTATATGTTCAGTGATCTAACAATAAGTCCGAAATATAATAAGCTCGAATTATATTTTGAAATAGTAACTATGTCAATTTTATTTATATATTTTTCTGATAATCTAATTACAAGCAAAAATGTTTTTTTTTTTTTTTTTTTTTTTTTTTTTTTTTTTTTTAATTATAGAAAACAATCTAATATATACAAAAAAAAATCTGTTAGATTATCGGAATTATAATTGTTACGAAATATAAAAGTTTTTGCATTCATAATCAGAAATTTATCAATATTTGATTTTGTACATTAAAGAAATTTCAAGGATAAATAATTGCTTCTCTTAGATCTAAATTGGTGCAAATTTTAAAAATTATTGTTTCGAAGTAAACCCTGTTTCGAAGATTTTACTTTTAATACAAAAAAAAACTCTATTATTTCATGCTGTATTTCATAACGATGAACTATTAAAAAAGAATGCTAAACATAATATTTTTGACTTATTATGACCTAAATTATTACAAAATAATGATAAAAGTTTGAAAAATTTGTTTAATAAAGGTCCTGCAACGCAGGGTTAAGAATCTTAAGACAAAATTCATCTTATAACTGTCAAACTACTGTGCAAAAATTTATCTTTAAAGTATTGTTTCTGTTTCAAATAACATAAGTGTGATAAACCAATTAGCTATGTGAGAAGCAGCCAGGTATTATCCCTAAATTTAGAATCAACTGTTTTAGGGATAAATGCACAATTTATTTTTAATTTCTTTTTGTGATACTTGTTGTTTAAGTGATGTTATTTTAAAATTACTATTTTTCATTGTGTATTTCCAGATAACAAATCTGAAGATAACCTTTTGAGTGAAGAGCAGTTGGCCAAACTTACAGATTTTGTAGCTTTCTTGGAAAATTAACTTTGTTGCTTGTTTTCCTGTTTTTTTAATAACTTGTATATTATTCTGTAAATTATTTTAATTAAACACATTTAAAAGCAAAATACATGATTGTCTATATTTAATAAAGAAAATTGTAAACAAAGTATTGTCACTTTAAAAAAAATTTTTTAGTAGCACAAGAAGTCAAACCTGAACTTCTTGCTGTTACATTCTCTGTGGTACATCATTTGCAGGTACATTATTCTCTTTTATTATTACCATATCTATAATAATATAAAAGGAGCTTGTGTATCCTTTTTAAAATTCCAGAATTATTTGAACCAACATCTTGAAATTTGATGCAAGGAGCAATTCTAACCCCTATTCATATAAATTTTGCAAAAAGTTTAGGAAAGACAATAGTTAGGAAAAGAATCAATTTTTTTAAGAATCAAGCAGGGTTGATATGTTTGATTTTGTTGAAATTTACAAGATATGTTTTTATGTTAAACCAGGGGTTTCCAACTGGCGGCCCAGGGGCCGCATCCGGCCCTCGAAGCCTTTTTTTGTGGCCCGCGAACTAAAATATATTAGTAGTCATTTTTTTGTGGACAATTTTCGTGAAAAATCTATATTGGGTTTAAAGTGCTTTTGTCGTTAATAGAAACCTAATTTCTTCGTTTCTGCAAAATTTATCATACCAACAGTGCAAAAAAAAAATTTTTCTCAGGTTTTACATCTAAGAAAATATTTATTCATATACAAAAATAATCGTGTATGTTGTTCTTTTTTATTTCCTTTTTTTGTATTTTGTGAATATAATTTAGCATGTGTGTATCAGAAATTGTCTCGAAGAAATTCTCCGATTTAACTTTTTGAAACCACTAATTTTGGACGAAAATATTTACACACACATTTGTAAATTTAAAATGTAAATATCTATTCTCTGGTGGTTGCAGCAGACAAGCCTCAATTTTGTCATTGAACATTTTGAGTGCTATTATGTAAGTTTTAATACCAACCTTTTTAAAGTTTTATATCTTAACAATTCGATATCTGTTGTACATTAATTGTTTAAGACATGGGTACACATTGTAGCACGAATTTTTTAATATGCAATTAAATATTTGTTGAAATCTACTTCTTATTTTAATTTGCAATTCAATACTTTTGCTTTGTACAACTTAGTAAAAATCTGACAGTAATATTTAATGTTCCTTCAAACATAAAAGAGTCCATTAAATTTTGATAAAGTTGCGGCCCCTCCATTTGATTTGTGTTTTTAATTGTGGCCCCCGACCTCATGTAAGTTGGAAACCCCTGTGTTAAACTATTAGAAGCATGACAAAATTTTTATGAAATTTTTTTCTTAGGTTTTTTTTTGGGGGGGGGGGAGTCAAAATTGGATATCTTCTGGAATTTAGAGAAAAACACATCTATTTACATGCTGTTTTATGTTTTGTAGAATGAGTATACCATGACACTGACAATCATTTATGTAGCATTACTTCCACACTAACTACTAAGACATAGATACTTTCAGTAGACCTTTGTATCGAAGGTCAAAGATCATTATAAAATATCTTCCGAATAAAGTTTTTTATGTCGCAGTCTATTTGTGCTAACAGTGAACCACAAAGGCAATAATGGGAATGTTACTTTTAAAAAGTAACTAGTAAAAAAAACTTGGATTTTAAGAAGTACTGAGTAAAAAATACCAGTACGAAGCAAAAAAGTAAGGAATTTCAAGTACATTTAGAGGAAATCAAAAACTCAAAGTAACCTTAAATTTCATTAAGGAATGTAAGAAAAAAAATTTCTAAATTAAAATGCATTAATTTTTAATTTAAATATGCTAAAACTTTAATAAAAGGCAAGAGAATGTTCCAAAATTTATTAAAACAGCAAACGTTGAAAATACGCAGAAATCAAAATTCAGTGTTTGCTAAAAGGAGTTTTAGTTCATGTTAATTTTAAAACTACTAAATATTTAGGAATTTTATTTTTACTTGCGGAATTTGTTGAAATAAATTAATTTGTTAAACGAATTCGATAATAATTATAATTTTTGTTTAAAAAAATAAGTTAAAAATTGCACTCGTATACAAAGCAATCCCTTTAAATCCATTAATTTAAAAATTTTAATTCGTTTTTATAAAAAACAAAAATAAATTTGGAATTTCAAAAAACGTCAGTTTTTTAATTTGTGAAATGATAATTCAGTATTGAATCCACTCATAGTCAAAAATTAAACACAAAAGTTATAATTTTAAATTTATTCTTATGATGAACTTAATGTTTTATTGCAAAATTCAAAAAAGTTTTTTTTCCTTCAAAATCAAAGAAATAATAAAATATTTTT